AGTATTTGTAAAAATATCAATATTCTATACACATCTACTGTCATTGTGAAAAGAATAAGGAGACTAATAAATTATCTGCCAGGAAAAAGGGCAGCAGCTAGATATTTAAATGTCTATGCATCAAAAGATGCTAGAGCTACTGCTATTTCTCAAGGAAACTAATGCTCTTGAACACTACCATCAAGTGGAATGCATGCTGCGACAAGACCACTTAGTAAATTACTAACTTAGTAAATACCAATACTTGGTTCTTAACAAGCGGCCTACTATAATTAGCTTTAAACTATCAAGTATCAATAACATTATAAAGATGAGACATTATAGCAGAGCAATGGTGGAACAAAAAATAATTCTATCTGAAATAATAACATTTTCTAGCAGAACAATGGAGCAAAATATAGCAAATATTTCCAAACACATAATATTTTCAATTGTGACGAAAAGAAAAGCTACAGCAAAGAGCCATTTGTTTTCTCGCATAGATTCTAGAACGCAGGTAATTTACCTCCGTTTAGGGGGTTGTTCATCAGCATCATTTTTCGCTGGCTCTTCAGGAGTGCTATCATTTTTATTTTGCACATCAAAATTGGATGATGGTTGTTCCTGTCTAGTTGGTGACGCTGGATTTTTATTTTCATTATCAGCCAGTTCACCGCTAGCTACTAATGCTGATCCAACAACATCAAGGGTGGGTACACTCTTTGGTGGCAACAAGTAAGCCCCATTTGAGCTTTCTCTCAGTTTAAGTGATCTGAAAAGTTTCTTTAGGCGCTTCACCAATGGCTTGTCAGAAATTCCAGAAATATCAATGCCTTCACCATTATCTATCATTTGAAGAAGCTGCAAATTAATAGAAATTCTTATTAATGTACTATTCCATGGGGCAATTAGAAACGGTCCATAGGATAGGAAATAACAGTATAGCTGGAACTCTGGGAGTGCCACAAATATCATTCATAAACTGATAAGACAAATGACTTAGCATGTTCAAAATCAACAAGAGGTGTGGATATACTAGTTTTGGCATGATACTAAGAAGCATTAAGGGAGTTAAGTAGATCTGCTAATCAGTAATCACAACGTATTAGAACAAGTAACTGAGGACAAACCAAGCCAATATGACAACAGACGATGAGAATCAAACATGTAATTAGTAGGTTGGAGGGTAGGACAATGGCATTCCCCCTATTCATGTATTTGATGGCTATAGATACTTAAACAAGGCAATATATCAAAAAAGAAAATTGCATTGGACTTAACAAGGCATAACTGAATGGAGAATATGGCCATAGTTGGTCCTAGTAGTTATTAGACATGTAGTTCAGCCAGTTCATCTTCACTGTTATGACTGCTTAAGATGGACAAATAGCACTGAAACTTCACACAGTTCAGCTAGGAACTCTTCATGGAAAAAGAGGTATGCCTCGAGCAAAGCAATGAATTTTCATGCGATGCAATTGTACGGGTCTGTCGACAACTTAACCCATACTCCAAAGGAAATTCTCGTCGGAAATTTAAAAATGCGATAGGGAACGAACCCTACCTGACGGAGCTCCCCGGCGACGGCGGGGAAATCACCGAGGATGTCGCGGACGATCTCCCGCGCCTCCTCCGCCCTATCCGGCTCCTCCGAGCCCGATCCCGACGACTCCGACGCATCGCCGCCGCGCCTCCCGCGCTCCTCGTCCCGCCGCCTCCGCCGGCGCCGCCGTTCATCGTCGTCGTCGCGCGAGCGGCGGGACCGGCCGCTGCTCTTGTGGTGGTGGTGGCGATGCCGGCGTGACGAGGAGGAGGCCTTCCTCCGCTTGCTGCCGCTGCTGCGGCTGCGGCTGCGGCGGTCGGGGCTGCGGCTGGGGGAGGAGGCGGAGGATGGGGAAGGGGAGGAGGCGGAGTCGGGGTCGGGGTCGGAGGAGGCGTCGCGGGATCTCCTGCTGCTGCGGCCGCGGCCGCGGCGGCGCTTGCCTTCCTTCTCCGCCTCGTCGCCCCTCCCCATCTTCTCCGACGGTCGGACGGACCTCTACCTTGGGGAAGAAAGGCTTCTTGTGAATTTGTCTGTTACGGGGACTGGAAGCCTGGAAGGGCATAACCTGAATGGAGAATATTACTGCCTAAACCAACCCTTCCGAAATTTGATAATACCAAATTTTTTTTTGGCAAGTTGATAGTATAACCAAAGTTTGGTTGAATAGAGGGGGTTGAATAGGCGATTTAAAACTAAATGACACCTAATTAAAATTAACCTAAGTTGCTAGGCTTGGTGAGGGTCAACTTTAACTAAGCAACTAAGTTATGTTTTGCAAACCTAGGGTGATAGTGGCTCAATTATATCTCTACGAAAGTAAATCACAATCCTATGTCAATGTTTAGCAATCCTAGGGTGATATGATCTCAAGTATGTCTCTAGAAATGTAAATTGCATAAATGTAAATGCAACAATCAAATAAGACAAGGAGACAGGAGATTTTTCACCGAGGTTCGGAAACTCGCCGGTTTCCTACTCCCCGTTGAGGCGAGCCCAACTCCACCGCTCAACCACGAAGCCACCGCACGCTCCCTTCGTCAAGGGGTGGGCAAGGCAGGAGCCGGCCCACGGAGAGGACTACCCAAACCTCGATCACTAGGGTAGTTCTTCCTTCACTCCGAAGGTGGTGAACTCCAAACCACTCACAAACCGGCGTCGGGCCTCCTCCACAATCTTCTCGGAGAGGTCACAGGGCAACTCCTCCACAAGCCGTCTAGGAGGCGGCAACCTCCAAGAGTAACAAGCGATGACCCGGCGTGGAGATGATCAATCAAGTGCCACACTAACTCTACAAATGGAAGCAATGCACTTGACTCTTGGCTAATCAACCCTCTAACACACTAGATGGATGAACACAAAGCTCAAGTGGGTGTGAGAGAGGTGCAAGGGGTGTATGCAATTGAATTGGGTGCCAAGAGAGCCCCCTTGCTGCTGGAGGGGGAGTATTTATACTCCCACCAACCAAAACTAGCCGTTGGGGGCGAAATCCCCCAACTTTGTGCTCTGCTGGTCTGACCGGAGGTATGTGGCCGGTCAAACCGTGCTACTCTGCAACGGCTAGAAAACTAGCCGTTGTAGTGCTGTCAGAGGGCCCCATCGGCCTGGCCGGTCAGACCGGCATTGAGTGGGCGGTCAGACCGGCCTCAGCTCGGTCTGACCGAATACGGCTCCGTCGGCTCTGTATCGGCCACCCCGAGCAACACCATCCCGGCCTCCAGGGGGCCGGTCTAACCGCGCATGTGCCGCCGGTCAGACTGGCCTTATGCGCCGGTTAGACCGCCGTCTTTCGGCCGGTCAGACCGGCCAGGGCACGCCGGTCAGACCGCCACTATGTGGCCGGTCTGACTGTCCCTGGTCATGCCGAAACCAGTGAAATCCCAAGTGATTGTGTGTGTGTGATGAAAAGCGAGCACAAGTCTAAATGCATAATGACCTAATGTGGCAATTAAAATCATCTCTTTGCTAGATCATTACCCCTCTTAATAGTACGGCGAAACTAAAAAATAAACTAGCAAATTTGATCGCCCTACACCTCGATCAATTTTAAAACTAAAAAACTAGTTTTACCGTTTTCTTTTCTTCGCTTCGCACCATCAAATTTTGATCCATCGATAGTCATCTATGCGCACACATGACGTGGACCTAACTTAAAATATTATCTCAATAACAACGGTTAGTCCACAATTAGCGCTTGTCATTAATTACCAAAATTAACAACGGGGGCCTAGATGCTTCAACCCCGCGCCATCTACCTCAGCCATGAGTTCCACTCATGACCTAGGGCGATCTACCAATCGTCGAGTATTGCCACAAGGTGAAAACGGATGCTGATGCTCTCCACGACGTCGGCCATGCCAAGCAGATGTTTTCCTTTACGACTATTCCCCAGGCTGCCTCGTCTTTTGATTTGCTTCTACAAGGACTCTCCACCATGGTAGCTCTGTCCTCCTTGGGTGTCGAGTATCTGTGACCTCCTTCGGTTGCTTCATCTGCTGAGGTCGAGCCACCGATATTGGATGACACCACCGACACCAATTTCTTCCAGCCCATGACCAGGCTTTGGACTTCATCGGCTTCGGCACCTCATCTTGCTGGCTCATCACCTAGCGTCACTGCTAGCGACAATTTGTCCATGGGTAGGCAAGACAATCTGTATATGAGCGGATCTCCATTCGGCTACTGCTGTGCCTATCTCTGTGGATCCATAGGGTTTAGAAAGAGTGCCACCAGCAGGCCATAATGGGCGAAGGCCGGATACTGGTGGTGCAGCCCAATGCCTCCCGACTCAGGTGGGGTGCTAGGCTGGACCCTAGCGTAGAAATCTCAGGTTGGGCTCCGGTATAGGCACTGAAGTAAATGTCCAAGTCTATTTCTTGCCGTAGGCTTTCTACCGATTCTAGAAAATCTTTTAAACGATGACCATTTACTTTAAAACTGTTACCTTCGTTGTCCATAGCGTAACCGCTCTATGCGATGAAGTGTCGATGACGGTGTATGGTTGCAGCCACTTGCTTCGTAGTTTCCCATGCCCCAAAAATTCTTGTAAAAAGTTAATATTACAGAGCAAATCAGGAGGTTTAAGATCCTGCAGGAGTTTATCCTCGATTTTTTTAATGTATAGTTAATAATATTTCCCTCTTTTTTCTATAAAGCTATATAATTCTAAATATTTCTAGTTGAATGATTGATCTATATCACAAACTGTTTTCGCTTGAAGCTATAGCATCTTATTATTTATCTTCTCCCAAGAAGCCATGAAAGCCATATTTTCTCAATATTCTCTCCTCTTGAAAAAATAGATTAAGTTATAAGAAAGAGTACGTTACAAAAATGCTAATTCCTCCGTTTCACATTGTAAGTCATTCTAGCATTTCTCACATTCATATTGATGTTAATGAATCTAGACATTATGAATGTGAGAAATGGTAGAATAACTTACATTGTGAAACGGAAAGAGTATGAAGTTGTTCAATTTAACGATATTAAGTTCAGCAGTTCAAAACTCCAAATCAATCTCATCAATCCTAAACAGAGCCTTTCTGTAGCTCAGTTTATGAAATTCCCCGGTGACTAATACTAAGTAATTACCCAGCAAGCTTACAAATGACTGCTAAGAAACTTGCATTTCGATCACTTCTTCACAGGAAGAGCAAAAACAAAACGCGAACACACGAAAGCACGCGTTAAGTGCAAAAATCTACATCCTTAACACCGGTAGCTTCTCCCTGTCAGTTCTTGATATATATGAACAACACTATAGCCACTATTCATGTATTACATATACTTGTCTTGTTCTCCTACAGGGATACATAAAAAACAATCCCCATCAACACAACTACTGCTAGAAAGAACTGGGCTCTATCCATCCTCACATCTTCTACATGTTGCAGAAGGTATATGCCAGAGGCAGCACGTGTTCTATTCACAAACTAACAACAAATGTTCAGCATATTCCACATGATCACATCACGCAGCATGCACATGCCCATTTTGCTCATCTGTAACCACATTATCTATGCCATTGTGCTCCTTGCTGTCAGAGTCATTCTCAATTTCTGACTGAGCTTTCTTCAGCTTTCTAAGGCGGACACTAGTCTGCTTGATGCGGCCTTTACCTGGGTCAGACACTAAGAGCAGGCGGGACATAACATAGGACAAAAGCTCCTCCCTATGGGAGAATGTGAAATCCAAGTGGGCGTACTCGAATTCATTGTAGGAAACCTCTACACCAGCCTTGCGCATCAGCTTATAGTGCTTCTTTACCATGGATGGTGAGATAACTCTGTCTCTTTGCCCAGCGACTAAATCTACTGGGATGTCAATCAGACCATAATGAGCTCCCAGGTCCAAGGGTTCTGGTGTTCCATATGCTTCCATATTTGCTACTGGACTTCCATAGTCATACATTTGGAACCTTTTTGCCCTCTTTATTTGTGCAAGGTGAAGTGCAACATGGAATGATACACCAGGCATGTCATCCATGTTGTAGTGTGGCAACCCGAGCACTCCCACCCAATTTGAACTGTCACCGCCAACTACATAGCCCATAAGAGTTTGGACAAGGCCGCCCAAAGCTGGATAGTTGTTGAAATCCCTGGCCAATTTGTTCAGTAGCATCCGGAAGAAACGTGTTGGTATGTAAAGGCCAGGTATAAATGGAGCTAGTACTGGTCCAACAAACAAAATGAGCTTTTCTACCATGCTGAACACCACATTAGAATCCTCATGAAAGCCAGCAGGAGATAGCAAGACCAATCTTGATAACCTGTGGGGCTTCTGCGCAATCCTTGATGTCACCACATACATTAACATCACCGCACCACCCAAGCTGTGGCAGACAGCACAAAGCTTGTATGGTTGATTGTCTCTTTCATCGTCCTGTGAAGCCTGCACTTCCAAATTTTTTATCTTATCGTTTTGATCTTCTGTTTCCTCACTTATGTGAGGTCTACTTTTGCCAAGTTCTGAAGTTTTAATCTTGTGAATTTCTTCAACAATTGCTGGCATATCTTTGGTTCCATGTTCATTAACAGAATATTTCCAGTACCTAGCATGGATAGACAAAAACAAATAAGACATGAAAAAAATACAGAGACCAAAATGACATAACCTACAATAGATTTCCTGCATGCAGTAAAAAACCTGATATGCTTTGCTAGTATTACTGCATTACTTACTTGTAGGAAGAAATATTTTTATCAACATGCTCCCTGGAGACTAAACCACGCAGATTTCCAAGAAAAACATCATAACCTGCATTCACCCATAAAGGATTTTTAGCATTCACTCCATACATCTGCAGTATATTATATCCAGTTTTAAATACTGACCTTGATCATATGCTGCAAATGCAGGTGAGCCAACAACACCATTCGATACCCAACTGCAAGAGAAACGACATGGAATCAGGGGAAACCAAACTGTATGCTTCAGATAAACTACATAGAAACTGGATAGATACAAAACTATTTGAAGTTTATTTGACTAACCACTACTGCATATTTTCATTTTACTGAAAAACATTAACAGTACGATCTTCAACAACACAGTAACATAGTGTGCTCATACTTTTGTATGTGTGAATTGATCATTCGATTATAAACAAACATTAGCGCTTTGATGTCAAAGTTCTTTAAGGAACTAATATAACTGCAGAAACAGATTCTCAGAGTGGATATTGTGACATTCAGCTTACGACATTATCAGTCAGGAGCAACTACATTATAAATCCCAAGTCTGATATGATGATCAATAGCAAGATTGTGGATCATCGAATTTTATTAGGGATGGCAGCGGGCTGGGTCGGGCACGGGCAGAGTGATTCCATGCCTGACCCAAGACCCATGTGCCCACGCCCGACCCACGCCCGCAAAGTCTATCGGGTAAAATCTCATGCACGTGCCCATGCCCGTCGGGCACAGGCATGCCCGACGGGTGCCCAACTGGTGCATCAAGGGTGAGGAAGAGGTAGTTGTGGAGGTGGTCGCAGCCGGTGAGGAAGACCTGGAGGTGGAGCCATGGAGGCACGGTGGCGACCGGTGAGGAAGAGGTGGAGGTGGAGACGGTAGCGGCTGGTCAGATCTGGCAACGGAGAGGAGAGCCCATGGCGACCGGATCCATAGACCAGGTGACGGAGAGACGACGACAATGGCAGGCGAGCAGCGATAGAGAGATGAGGGCGGTAGGAGTCACGTAGTCACGCTAGGACTCAGCAACCAAAAGCCAGCAACAAGCAAACCATTGACTACACAGCGTGAGCACACCAAGCGAGGGAAGGAGGGGGGAAACGGGAGGCACTGCGCTGGTCTCACGGTCTCACCTGGTAGGGGCTCACCGCCGGCGTGGTCGTCGACTTGATAATGATGCCGCTGCCGCTACCAGCATGCATAATCTCGCAGCCGCCACCGCCGACGACACCTTGCCTCGCCATCGCCCGCCTCCGGCCTCCTCCACCTCCTCGCCGCGCTTCCCTTCTCTCTCTCCCCCTAATCCATGACTTGCTTTGGCTTCATCTACTTTGCCTCTCGCTTTTGCTGCCACAGCAGCTGGCCGCGTTTCCGCTCACCTCGCTTCGCTTCTCCCTCTCTGCTTGACGCGTTGACGCGTTGGCGGTGATGAGAGAGACACACACACACACACAGAGAGAGAGAGAGAGAGAGAGAGAGGAGTTGGGTTTCGGGGGCCGGTGGGTGGTGGGGTTACCGCCTGGTGGAAGCTGGCTAGTGGCGTGCAACATGTGGTTGGTTTCCCTGAAACTTGGCTATACATATGTCCATTGCTAATGGGCCAAATGGGCCAAAAGGAAGGGGAATGAGAATGAAGGTATGTGCCAAAATCAATAATACATATACCGGGTTGGACATGGGTTACCCGCGGGTAAAAAATGAGACCCTGCTGCTACCCACCACATTGTCGGGTCTCGGGTGGGCATGCCCACAAGCAAAATATTACACCCATGCCCATGCCCATTGGGCCAGGTATCCGCGGATACCCGGACCCATGGGGAAAATTGCCATCCCTAAATTTTATGGTCTGCTGAGTCATTAGTAATTTAGTATAAAAGCGAACAGCAAAGGCAGCACCTGAAATTTTTCTAGAATAGCATCAACTTCAATATCAAAACCTACTATACCAGCTCATATTTCTCAATATCAACTATTCATTACTGGAGTAAAAAGCCATCACCTTATCGCATCAACTACAGTCAGGGTCCAATTCGCATACAAATCATATTATCCAACTAGTCAAGGACAAGCTAACTCAGGGCAACCTCTTTCCTATCAATTGGCTTGTTTTTACAGTCTATTAAGTGGGAAGGTAATGCCAATATAAATACATAAATAGAGAAAAAAGGAACAACAGCAACAGATCAAACGGCATACAACTAACAAATTAAAATACATTTATAAAGAACCAACACCAAACATGTAAGAAATTAGAAACGCCATCATGACTAAGCATTTGATTGTGACTCACCCCATTGATGAGTCCAGTATTCCATGTTGCAGCAATACCACCTTCTGTGAATCACGCCTAAAAATTGGATGCTTCATATCTCAATCTCCGTAACACAACTGTTGAGAAATATATTAACATGCAATAATTATAATTCATACCTTGGAATTCTCTCCAGCAGTAGGACATATCCATCTGAAGTAACAACTTTTATAGCCTCAAAAGGGTACCTGAAAAAGATGTGATGAGATTAACAATTTGACAATGAACACTGATGCAAAAGGATTTAATGCAAAATAAACCGAACTGACTGAACAGAAAATAGAGATCGTACAAGACTCTAGATTCATAAACAATTATAGGAATTCGCACATTAACCAAAACATGGTCCAGATTCATTTGACACGAGAAAAATTACGCACTTGACTGATAAAACCTAAAAAATAATGGGTAACACATCTTGAAATTCAAGCATAGCTCAAGCGTCAAGGATAACTAGATCTATTAGAATAACACCAACGCAAGCCCTTAGCAACAATTTGACACAAAGCAAATATAACGAAAAGCAGAAAATCACTGGAAAGGACATACCCACAAATTTGTGGCAAATGCAACTGAGTAAACAGTACTAAAACACCTTAAAATGCTAAAAATGCTCATTCAGGATTATGCATCCATTAAGTTTGAACAATATACATACATGTTTACGATTCTATTACTAAACCATACTAACATATAGGTCGATCACCTACCCAAGCTCAGTGATAACATCTTCACATGTCCGAGAATCCGTGTTCAAAGGATGGCGATATATAGTCTTCCTTTCAGTTGGGGCTGGATTGTCACTGCCAACATTAGCTGTTGGTACATCAACAACAGGGCTACTGCTGCCATGAATCCAGCAAAATAATTTCTTCCACACCTCAGAAGGAGAAAGAACATAATGCGCGCCTTTATGAACAATGTCAAACACTGATTCGATGAAAATCTCAATTGCAAGATGGAGGTCCTAAATTTGAAAGAAAAAAAAAGAGATCAGGGTGTGACTAAGTGGACATAGAAACCACTAAATGAATTTCTTCAGGGAAATAGGTTAAACAATAATCACAACTTTGTCATGCCATAAGATAGACAAACTAAGGGTCCACTTTTATAAAAGTAGTACCTCAACAACTCCACGCCTCCTGTCAGTTGTTCGTTGGAGAACTTGATCCTTAATGTGAAGCCCTCTCCTAGAACGGAAGTTCCTAGAAATATGGGGACTTTCTGGGGGTTTATTAGATGTCTGCATGATCCGAAATTTGATAGCGTTGAACAGAATCACCAGCAAAGAGACAAGAAATCTGGCAGGCCAAAGAATCCATGAAATTGCATATCTAATAGGTCTTCTCAAGCGGCGATCACGCCTACTGAAACTGCTTGTATGTGATAATCGTGAACTTTGGGACAATGGAGATGAAGGACATATAAAATCTTCGTTTTCATCATCCCCAGGGATCGAGTCAGTAACTGATTCACCATCAGAATCGACAGAGAGTTCATGAATAAACTCATTGAACGATGAAACCCCACTGATATCAGAACAAATAAGTGTAGTCATCAGAAAGAGAGAGAAAAATTTTCATCACAGAAATAGATGTGGAATCTGTTACATTAACCATACATAAGTCATAATATTAATAATACAAAACAAAACTTCATAAAGCTAAAATGGTAGGCGTAAGATCTCATGCAGGTGAAAATAATCCGGTCCATATTGTTCAGTCATTACATATTATGGTACAAATTTTATTCAAAATTCTAAAGACCCATTGGTACTTATCACATTTTTCCAGCAAACAAAGAGAAGCTTTCATTGGGCAGAGCCCCTCCTAAGCATACATTGGCACAAACCAAATGCAAAATGGCAAGCAGCACATACAGAAATTCAAGATTATTGAATTCACTTCATGTTAATGATCACTCACTATCTTGTCCTCCTCGGTTACAATAGAACATTCCTTAACCATGCCAAAAAGCTACTCCCTCCATTCCATAATATAAGGCACAACCACTTTTTGAAGATGCTCCATAATATAAGGCATGCATGCATGTAGGCAATTAACTATGACCCCTTCTACATTAAATTATTACTTTTTTAAATCCTCCACTCTCATATTCTCTAATTCTATTGGATACATGCATTGTATTTATTAGGATGATCCAAACTACAAGATGATAATAATTATTTTCTTGGTCTTTGGGTTAGGGGTGGTTATGCCTTATATTTTGGAATTGAGGGAGTATTATATAGGCCTACAAATGCACGACTGAGAAATTGCTTTGTAGAAAAAGCTATGAAGGTTTTGCAGGGACAAAAATAAACTGCGTGGATTTGTTGCTTGTAGATGGGGAAAAAAATAGTGAGTTACCAACTTGTGTCCAAAACCACAGAGAAAAAAATGGCAGGAGACAGGAGTGCAATTAATATCACAAGTTGTAAATATCTAGCATAATTAAGTCAATGAAAATAAGATAACCTTTCCATCCAACGAGGAAGACGTGGGCCACGGAATGATGGTCTAAGTTCCCAGCCACTGATGCCTTCTAACATGTTGGCCTTCCCTGGTAATAGAGTCAACAGGAGTGCTGATATTCCATTTATCAACCTTGCAATATTGTTCAGTGATTCATATGTGAATGTCTTCACAGATCTGGCCAAACAAATGCAAGAATTCAATAGTGCATCTCATTCATACAGAAAGGCTAAAATAAGAGCAACTTAACTGGCATCTTATAAACTTCACAGTAGAGATAGCATGCATGGTTTTTGTTTTTTTATTGAAGCATGAAAACTATCCATAAACAAGTACAAGCAAGTAAACCCCAGACCACAAATGCACTTAGCAAAGACATAAATACTACATTGAAAAAAGAACAACTTAGAAAGCCTGGGACACTCATAGACAAAATGTCAGAAATTTGCATTCTAAGGTACAAGTCAGCAATCAGCCCATATTTGTCCAAGGCTTTCAGCTCTTGGAATCATCTACAAAGAAAGATTAAAAAAAAACAAGGCCAGAACTGGTCTTTATGGTTCAAATTCCACATCCATACTTATGTGTGAGACCAAGAAGAGGTTAACAAACAGCATAGCAGCCAACGATGGGGCAAAGCGGTGTTGAGTAGGAAGTTCACACTTAACAACGGTGTCAAGCGAAATGGCCCCATGTCATTGAGATCCTTATTAACTGAAATCTCAGTGATCTTAGGCCCTGTTCTTTTTCAGCTACTTCATCAAGTTATATGGTGGATTATTTGCTCCATGTCTCTAAAAATACCTTTAATTTTCAAAAGAAACTTTCTTCTAATGCATTCTTACACCACTTGTTGTACGGTACTTATTAAGTTTATTTCTAAAAATATTTAATTTATCCCTACAATCAAGTACATAATCCGTTTAATAATCTGTTTCAAACTGGGACCTTTGTGCAGCCGGCATAATTCAGTAATTCACAATTCTACACACAAGGTATCATGGTACTACTACTAAAAAATTAGTGCTTAGCCAATAGCGACGCCATATTTTTCTGCCCACCCCTTACCCTCCCCTCCCTCCTCTCAGCATCTCCTCGTTTAACATTTTGACATTGAACCTAATCCAACAAATTCTCGTTTCATGGCTATTCTGGAGAGATGAATGAGCTATAAAAATCCCCGACATCTAACCTCAGCGCTCAATCCAAAATCCCTAGCATGAAATCCTACCCTACCGAGGCACCGACCACTCCCCCTAACGCGCCACCCCCACCCATGACCCATGACCCACCTCGGCTCGCCGATCCTCCGCACCCTAGCCAACCATTCATCAAAACACCCGCAAACAAAACGAAGTAAGCAAGCCCCCCACCGCGGGGAGGTAGGGATCGAGGGGAGAGAGAGGGGCGGATGGGTGGGTGTGCTCACTCCTTGATGACGGCGATGACGTTGTCGACGAACTCCTGCAGCATTATCGCCCGCCGATTCGCGAACGGGAGCCGCGGATTCGGGGCGCCACGGCGTCTTCTGGAAGCTTCGGCGAAGCGCGAGGGCGAGGGCGAGGCGCGGAAGGCTGAAGAAATCCGGAGGGAAGGCGACGATGGCGCACAGCGAACGGGGACGGAGACGGCGAAGCCAAAGGAAGGAGGGGGGCTTGGGCGGTTTGGGCCCACCTATTTCCGTAGCCGCATCGTGTGGAAAGAAAAAATTAAAGTGGGGAATAACCTGGTCCGCGGAATACACCGGCCGCGTGGATGTGAGCATGACATGTGGGCCATGCTGGGAGATCATGGCCCACGTGCCGGGTGTCTCATCGGGTCTTGTTGCGTGACGTGGAAGGTTAGTTTATCCCGCGGAGCACTGTTCGACCCCCTGTATGCTACGACAAAGGGGGCTTTGATTGGGATAGCTTTGTGACCGACAGGTGGGTCCAGGAACTCTGTGGGCTCAAATGTCAGGCAGGCGATCTCATCTGGGTTAGCCGCAGCGGGGTGTGTTTTCTTTTTATACTTTTCTTTCTTTTTTTAGGAGCATATAAAAGGTTTCGTGCGGAGCGAAGCGTGGGATAATGCCGTGGTGGTGACGTGTCGCCGTCTGTTGTTTCTCTACCATGCGTGCGAACACGTGCCGATGTCTTGGAGCGGTCTCTGTTTGAGGTTAGGCCCGGCTCTTGCTATGACATCATTCATCATCATCAATCATTTTTCTCAATTTCTAATTTTTTTTAAACTCCTAAACCTTTGTGTTACATAATGGATTTTCATTAATACGGCCTCTATATTCACGAAGGATATACACAACTAAAAAGATACAAGAGCCCTTAGATTCAAACCTCATCAAAGAGAACATTCAACCAAAAAGAAAAACCTATGACCTCGGCACATTCTTGCTTCCCGACATCTTCTCCTGAAACAGTCAAAATCGACGAGTGGAAGTTGTTTGGTCATCACTGATTGGTAATAAAAACTTCCAAGAATGTGCCACTCGTTCTTAAATAAAACATTGATTATGAGAATTAGGGAGATGCCAACTGATTGGTGCAAACTTTGTGTGTGGAGATGGTGCCTGTAAAAAGATGGGGCTCACAAGCTAAATTGAGAACCTTTCACAAGCTAATTTGAGAACCTTTTCCTTTAGGATATCGTCTAAATTGAGAACCTTTTCCTTTAGGATATCTTTAGGATATCGTCTAAATTGAGAACCTTTTCCTTTAGGATATCGTGCTACAGAATATATGTATCACTTCTTTGTTTTGCTACAGAAGGTGGAGCAGTTTTTATCTTCTTAGTTTTTGTTTATATGTATTTATAACAATTATTCTATTCTAGATCAATTATTTGTGTAGATCAATTATTTACACCTCTTGCATAGAAACCACCAAATACAGCATATGGGATTCTTTATTGCCTCATGATTTTTGTTTATCTATGCCAACATTTACAGACGCCCAAGCCCTCAATGCTGGGCTCCGTGCAGACGTGAGCCGGCACAATTGTCTGCTTCTCCATGTGCTCCCCAGATAGATTGGGTATCCACATCAAGAATAGGTAATTCAGAAAACATAAGACACAATTATACTTCAATTTAATTATACTATGTTATTTAATTATGCTATATTATGTTTATTCTTCATCTTTCAATCAGTTTCTAACCAGTGAAGTCCTTATTTACGGGAAATTGTCAAGTAATCTCTATTGTACGTGTTCTTGATCGAAGGATATAGTGGTGCATGTGTATTCAGTGGTAGTACTCTCAAACAAAAATATTGAGCATTTGATGTACATCAGAATTGTACTAAGAAGAACAAAATTGTGTGCCATAATGAATCCAAGAATTTAAATTTGATTTATTTGGAAAAAAATTGCTTACAACAGTCTACGTATAAAATCTAATTGTACTACCATCATTATGGTTTTTTAAATAATAAAAATGTTCTCCCTTGCAGTTTGGCAAGTTTAATTTAAGCAATTTGTCCAATTTAATTCATATACTGATTTTTACGTGCATTGCACGTGGACGATTACTGGCAGGAAGAAAAGCCAGACCGGGCACCGAACCAGCCAAGCGCTTGGTTCATCGGTCCAGTTGGACTTCTCAAGGTCAATGAGATATAAATTTTACTAAACTTGCTAATTGTCATACTAAAGATTTATCTTCTCTGGCATGCAGGTATTTACATTACTAGCTATATTTGTTTGTTTTACTTTGTTTGTTGTTCTGGGGGCTCATTGTCATCTCAAGTTCATGCAGTTTTGTAACATTGCTTTCTGGTCCCTGCGACAACGTGCGAGGACAAACTTGATTTTTATGTTTACTAGTGAGCGTGCACGTGCAAAGCACATCTTGCACGTCGATATATATATACTCTCTCAGGAATTCATCTTGGCTCTAGCTGCTGGGCGCGTGGCTCCAGCGACAAGTTGGAGGCGATAGCAACGGTGATTCACGACCCATGGCGCAGCTCACCCTCTGCCTTTGATCATGATCCATCCTGTTCACAAATAATCGCACAAGTTATATAGCTACTAATGCAATGAACAAAGATATCTAAAGGAACAATAGATTCTTGCAGTGTGTGCTATAGTCCTTCCATAATTTGTCCAACTCATATGGCCCAAAGCAAAGTATTTGTTCAAAATATATGTAGTTCTGTGAAATTTACTCTGAATAAAATTATGTCGACTACCTTCAAATGTTTTGCATGCCTCTTGTTCAAGCAAAATTGGGTGATGTAATAAGAAAGTAGGTCTCAAGCACCATAGATGCTTCATGCTTGCCTGCAAAATAGCAATTGACATAAGATTGGAGTATTTCCTGTGCGAAATCTGTTGTCTACCAAAGAATTGGCAGTAGCCCTTATGTGAAGAAATAAACACACTGATCTTAAATATAAGAAAACAAAAATATTGATTTTCAGTTGCTTATCCAGTGTGTAGCAGCATGGACAGTTACTGAGGATGACAAAAAGCATTGGTTGGCAGGAAACTACAAATGCATTGCAAGCAACCAACAGAAGTGCTCAATTCATAGCAAATACAGCCCATACATTGAAATGTTAAAAAAAACAGCGTGGTCTGTTAAACCGGCCTGCATTTGTAATAAAATCAAGTTTGGACTATCAAAGTACATGTTGAACAGTAAGAGATTCATATTTCACACCACACATTTATATAGGCTCCTAGAACAAATTCATATATCGAATAAATCAATCAAAATAGATTATGCATGCAAAATTAATTCCAATTGTCACTGAATTTAGCTGGGTGGCATAATTTTTACAGTACTATATTCACTAATTCCAAGCATTCAAATTTGTACAGGACCATCTATAATTTTGTTTTGAACATGTAACAGCTTCGTGGATTGCAAAAAACAGAAAATGTGCAGCACAAAACCAAGTTAGTTTCATAAAAAAAAAGTTCAATGATTAGGAGTAGATGAGAAAACCAATCTTAAAACGTGAATATAATTGCAGGGAATGAAATTGTGTATATTGAAAATGCAAGGAAAACACCGATTAACTTGATCATTACCTTTATGTCTTGTTCTAACTCCATCACTAACAGCATCCCCTTCACTGATCAAAACAGTTGATGAGCACATCCAAGACCCATAGAAGGCCTGCTCCAACAGAGAAGAATATAAGCACAATAGAGCTATGTGTTCATCAGTAAAAAAAAAAAAGTAATGCAATGCATCACGTGAATTGCTACCTACAATAGTGTCTCAAATCAAAGCTTTGTCACTGCACAGTAGAAATTAACGTAGGCGGCATGCATTTTTATCAGGAAGGCTGAAATGAAGGGAAATAGACAGCTCCAAGCCTCCAACCAATCTGAAAATGCATCATTTACCATAAGTAGTGATCTATGGCCATGTGGTTTGTCAACATGATTTCTTTTGGGCAGCATCATAGGAGGCATAACTCTCTTTGTTCTAAATAAACATGATGCCTATAAATGTATATCTCCAGAAATTTTAGGAACAAACATGTTACCATTCAGTATCACGGTTCCTGAACAGGCTTGGGTAGCACCAAAGCCAGCATAATTTGTGATATCTCTTATGGGCACCCTTCATAATTTGTGAACCTACACAGACATGTACTCTTATTTTGGGAGTACATAATTCACATGTCATGGTGAATTTTTTTTTTCTCATGGTTAAGTTTGGACCCAATGGGATCTATGCAACCTGATAGAGATGTAGTCGCCTCCTTCTTACGTTGTTTATACTTACAGTTCTTTTGAAGCCTAGCTTGTTTCTGTTCTGTAGAGAGTGAAGCATACCTCTCCCTTTCATGCTTTCTCCTAACCTCGGCAGCAGTTAAGTTTGATTATGCAGTGCGCCTCTTCCTAAAACATGTGGCATGGAAAAGTAAAATCAAACCATTATGTGATAAAAATGTGTTGTGGCCAGAAAAATATTAATTATAGCAAGATAGTGAAGATAAAACTTCAGAAAGAACATACTTGACTGTGTTGAAAATTCTGCTGTGGCGTTCGCATTGTTTTTCACTGTATTAAGATGCCGCCTCATGGTTGCTTACGGTTGTAGCACTGTGAAAGTCAGACACTGAAATAGCATAGAGCATATACCATGTAAATCACCGTCTGAAATAACATAAAGCATGTAAGTCAGAAACTGAAATAACCTCCAGACATACCAATTTACTGAAAGTGACTGTCTTGATTCATTCTATGTCGATCAGTTAAGGAAGCTAATTGGAGTTCGGTGTTTGCGTTAATCTTGAATGTGACCAACTGAGCATGGACTGACATAGATGGATGAATTTGTGCGAACAAAGAAGTCAGCACTGTGCTCACCGTAGGGCGAGGCGGCGAGGGCGGGACGGACCTGAAAGCGCAGTGCCGGCGCGAGCAGACCTCGCCTCTCCTTCCTCTCAGTCGCGTAGAGAGCAGGGAAGCAGGGTCACCGACGAGCGGAGGGCTGGCTAGCTGTCAAACTTGTCAAACTTCATATCCATTCTTACAGGGAAGCAGGGTCACCGGCGAGGAGGCTCAGGCGGTAAGCGGAGACGGAGGGCTGGCAGCGGGGTAGGGAGTGCGCCTAAGCCGGCGGCGGCGCCCGGCTGTCCTGTAGTCGGAGGCGGCGGAGGGTTGGCGGCGGGCGCGCGCCCTGAGCCGGCGGCTGTCCGGCGGTCGGAGACGGCAGAGGGCTGGCGGCGGCGGGCTGGTGCGCGCGAGGAAGAGAAGAGCGGCGGCGGGCTGGCGCAGGAAAGGAAAAATTGTTTTTTTTTGTTACTTTGACCGATCGGTAACCGCTGTTTAGAGGTGGTAGAACGGACAGATCCAAACCTTGATATGAGCTGTTGGATATACAGACTAAGGGTTAGAAAAGATATTTAATGAACTGGTATTTTTATATTAGTAGATTAATTTAACTAAATATCCCAATTGCACGCAAATAATCTAATTGCGAAATTAGGACTATGTGGCAAACTCGATGCTGGATCCTGGATGGGGGGTGGACACGATGTATTGTACCGAACTATCGATCAAGACACTACAATCACATAATATTTGTCCTCTGAAATATTTAACAATAATGCTAGACAATTTTGATCGGATTAACCAAGTAAAGTTGGCCTCTATAACGGTTGGGCGATAGCAAAAGATCATAGCAAAGCCAGTAGCAATTTGTACTAGCAATAAATTAGGTTGACATAAGGAGGAACATATTACTAGTTATATCATTTGCAATTGTCTGAATCTCAGTATGTTGGTTGGACCAATCATATATTTTATTGAGATAGGTAACTGACCCGAAACCCCCTCGGAGAACCGTATATTAGAATTTCATCTCGTCCAACTCAAGCGGAAACACAAATTTTTAATGGATAAAAAAAGTTTCAAAACTTAACTTCATTGGATTGGGTCGATTTGCCTTGAAGATATGGTTTGCCTGTGTTGATGTACCCAATTTTAAATTTTAGAATCACTTTAGAGGGGATTTTCCGTCTTTTTTGTCATTTAACCTTATAGAACACTAAGAATTTTTTTAAGAAGGGATAGAACACTAAGAATTACTCGTATGTTTTTTTTTACTTTAATCATGTGTTTTCAACGTATAAACCGCAACCCAAACAAATCTGAAACAATCACGCACTTAGTTAACCCTCTTTACAGGAAGAGAGTTTATTCAACATGCTCATATCACAGGATTTCTATTAGCATCAAGCACCGGTACACAAACTCATTACTAGTATATTTATCTGATCTCCTTTCATCAGTATCACTACGGCAAGTCAATTTGGTGGTAGGCGTGGTGGGCGCGGGAATGCCCGTATCGCAGCATAGATCAGCTCCTCTCGGCCAACTGGAGCAGGAGTGGGCAGTGCAGACGCTGGATAAGGGAAAATGCAGTTCTTTGCATGAGATTCGGAAATAGTAATATAAACTGAATTTTGCTGAGAACCAGAAGCTGAGAAACAGGTTAGTATAGAGCAAACCTTGAACGTCAGCAGATTGGAGTACAGCGGTACCCATCAGTGGCGGGCCCAGGATTTAGAGGTTGGGTATTCGAAATAGGTAGGGGTAAAACAAAATTCTTTTTACTTCTAGAAGTCCAATAATTAATTGGTATAATATTACACATTACTAATTGTATAATATTATAGCATATGGCCATAACTTTATAAATTGATAGAATTGATCATAAGTCCAAATTCTTTAACATATATAAGTACTAATTGTTCGACATATGAAAGTGGCAACATATATAACATGTAAAGGATAGAAAATGGTAAAATGATAAAAAAAAACTTACAATTTAGAGGAGAACTTTTCAATGCTTGATATTTTAAAAATGAGTGATGATGTCCTCATCCTTTAACTTGTACAAAAAATTCTCTTCCAATAAATGTAGATTGTTGCTCATCTTGCTTCTTGTTTTTATATAGTTCATCGAAGAAAACACCCTCTCTAAATTCTCTAAATTCCTAACAACAGCTCATATATAGCCTCATACTATCATCATATATATAAATTTAACACACTGAAAATTAAATATTATGGTTCTAAGTTATCTAAATTCCTAATATTTACAGCTTTATACTATCAATCTGTCAATAAATATACACTTAACAGTTAACACTCTGAAAAATAAAGAAGACAGGAACTGAGGAAGTTGAATCCTTCGGTGCTAGTGAACTATTGAACTACTATAGAACAAATCAATGAAACAAGCCGTCGCCACCGGAAAACATAACTACTATTGAACTACCTAGAACAAATCAATGCAATGAATCAATGAATCAAGCCCCTCACGCAATCCATGCCAGGCCGGCAAGCCGTGGTCGTTCGGCTGCCGCATCGCGTACCTGTGTGGTGGCCTGGTGGACTGGCGGCCTGCACGCCTGGCCGAGCCCCAACGCCGCACGGCCGCAGCCGTCGACGCGCCGCCTGCACGCCTCGGCGCCTCCTGCCGCCGACGCAGCCGCGCACGCCGCAGCCGGAAGCCTCTGCCGCAGCCGCCGACGAGCACGCTGCAGACTAGACTGCAGTCGCCGCCGCCCGACGCGCTGCCTAGGCTCCTACCCGCCTTGGCGCCGCCTTCCGCCGACGCAGCAGGAAGTCGCCGCCGCCGCACTGCCGCACGTCCTCGCCGCCACACCGCGCACGTCCTCGGTCCTCTGGTTAGGGTTTGGCCGATTTGGGAATTAGGGCTTTGGTTTGCTGTGCCTAGGCGAGGAGGGGAAATGAACTAGTTGTGGCCCAAACTGATTGTGGGCTGAGATGAAAGGGGAGGGAAGTGGGAAATTTAGGCCCAATAGAGAAGAAACGATGAAACAGGGCCCAAAATGAGTAGTTTTAGCCTTTTTCTTTAATTTCTTGAATACATATACGAGGTATAGAGTACATATACTTATTTTTTTTGTCTAAAAATCTTGGGTATACGTCTGAATACCCTTGAATCAATAGTGGGCCCGCCCCTGGTACCCATCGTTGGGTTGATCGTAGGTCCATCTCTTGCTACTGCAGGAGATGCAAGGCTGCTAACAAAAACCACTAAAATAATGAAGAATGCTTTGAACGCCATCGTCACTCGTCTATTGTTTTTCTCAGCTTATGACAGAAAGCTTCCTATGGTCCTCCAATTTATAGTTGGCAAGGAATGTTTCAGCAGCCTAATTCTGGTAATAAACAAACCAGCAAAAATCCTATTCGATAAGGTTTTGCAGTTTTGCTTTAACCCAAACAGAAACTATGATTGTGGCTCGATGGTATCAACATCTCCTAGGCTGCCTAACTCAATAGTCCCTTGAAACACATGTTTTTCTTTTATTAGAATATAATTATATGATATTTTATTGTAAAGATTTAATTACAACGAATATAATGGTACAATCATATTACAAATTGGATAAATAGTGTAAAAGAAAAAAAATATTTAAAGCAAGAAAGAGGAAAATATAATAACAAGCAACCTAGAGTATTATATGACTGTGTGTTGCAACTGGTGAATGCTAATTCAATCTTATTGTTGTTACTAGCAAAAATGCTCGTGTGTTGCAACGGGTGAAAAAAATTCTAACGATAATATACTTTTTCATGCATAATCATGTCAATGACAATATTTATATTTTAATGAGCGACATGTTTTTTTATAAACGATGTATTTTTTTTCTTGCGCGATTTTCTCAAACCATTTTTCAAAAATGGCGTATTTTTTTCTAACAATTTTTTTCCTAGCATGTTCTTTTTGCTTTTTTTTACTGGCGACGAAAACCATATTTTTCTCTTTTTTTGCTTTTCTTTTTTCGTGTGTTTTTTTATGTTTTTTCTGACAATTATTTTCTCACGCGCGTTTTTTGCTTGTTTTTTTCGAATGTTCTTTTTTGCCTTTTCCAATACAGGAAAATATATGACGAAATAAAAGACGTGTAGTAGATGACAAAAAATCGATGGATCCTACCCGGCTCAAGCGTCCATCAATTTAGCGTTTTTTCTGACAGATTTTTCGGACTGATTTGTTTTTTTAATAGACGATGTTTTTTTTTGGCACGGTTTTTTCAAACCATTTTTTAGAAATGGCGTGTTTTTTCTGATAGTTTTTTCATCGCATGTTTTTTTAAATTTTTTTACCGACGATGGAAATAATTTTTCTCGCGCGTTTATTTATTTTTTATGGAAGATAGAAAACCTGTTTAGCGTGTTTTTTTTGCGTTTTTTTCTGACTTTTCTCACACGTTTCTTTGAACCGTTTTTATTTTGTTGTGCATTTTCTCTTTTTAAATAGTTAGATTAGATTAGACATAGCGAAGAGATATATACTGATTAGAAATCGGAATTTGTTTCTCCCTTTCCATTTTTTTTTCTCGCGCATATTTTTTATTTTACATGAACCATTTTTTTCTTCTTAGAGAATGGGACGAACTTTTTTAGATGTTTTTTCAAAAATTTTTCGCCTTTATAGGAATCGAACTTTTTTTTAAAGGTATCAGATCTCGCTTTTTTTTCACCATTTTTTTGCCTTTTATAGGAATTGGATCTACGGTTTTTTTTGCCACTTAGGAGAAACGGAGTTTTGTTGTTGTTGTTTTTCTTTCTTTTTCTTTATTTTCTTTTTTTTGTGCGGTTTTTCTTTTTCTTTTTATGCAGCTTTCTGCCTTTGTTCTTTCCCTTTTATTTTTTTAATAAAAAACGACCTTAAGTATCTTATTGCAAGATTATAGGGACTTAGATATAAATATAAAAATTATAGGGACTCAAATACAAAAGTACAGACTCAAAATTTAAAATCATATAAAAATAAAATGCTCTCGACCGATAGGTTCCGTTTTTGCAAACAGATCTTCAATCCGACACATCAATTTTATTTTTTGTTTTTAAGGGTGAATTGGATCTATAGTGGGACTTGTTTTTCCCTTTCTGAGAGGGAATTGGTAGGAGTCGGACTTTATTTATTTATTTTTCGCTATTTTTTTTAATAAGTAGATAGATAGATAGATAGATAGATAGATAACAGAAGTTAGGGATTAGAGATTAGATCTGTTCCCTTTTGTGATTAGGAATTTAGATTGTTTATTTATTTTTTTAGAAATAAAAAGAAAAAAAGATCTCGGGAGATGGGGAGGAGATTTTTTTTCCGCCTCCGATTCGCTTTTGTTTTTTTGTTGCCACGTTTTTCTTTTTAGGATCTCTCTTTTTTTTAAGTTAGACGGACGACGGAAACATCATAATTTTTTTTTTGCGGGGGAAGACAGGGGTTTTATTAAACTTCAGAATAAGGATTACAATCCTGAGCCAGTTGCTCAGCAACACACACCGGCGCCTGCAGGCGCAAGACCACTGCCTCCCTATTCCGAATGGCTAGCTGAGCAAGCTCATGAGCCACCTTATTAGCACCCCTGCGAATCAGAGCCGTACGAGCTTCAGGAGCAGCACGCATACCCGCTCTCACTTCCCTGATTAGTGGCCAAATCTGGGACCTATTAGCCGCTGCCAACCTCAGATAGCTATCAACACCGGCACAATCCGTTTCTAGAATGCATGGCTCCTTGACCCACTCATTTGCAAGCCATATTCCTTCCCTGCACGCAGCTGCTTCGGCAAATTCGGCCGATGCGCAGTTCCTGATCAGCTTCTAGGAAGTGAGTAAAACATTCCCCTCACTGTTCCGAATAACAATGCCGACGCTACCAGTGCTAGTCTGCGGAACATAGTCCACGTTTATTTTCACCCATCCCATAGCTGGTGCCTGCCACACACCTGCCACTTGGGTTCTTTCCCGGCACCCATTCACATCACTTTGTCTTCCCTCCGACACTGTTTTTCCTTTCTCATTTTCCTGCATTGCACTGCTAGACGGGCACAAGGAATCCCAAAGATTCAGAAGGAAAGCTGTAGATCCCTTCACCGTCGCTTGCCCAGAACCGAAAACACAGTCATTGCGCAGGTACCATGCTCGCCATAGGACAAGGAGAAACTGCGCCCGCTCCTTTTCGCTCAGCTTATCGAGTCCCCCAAGAAGCCACCCCGGACCTAGCTTCGACAGGGAACGCTCATCCGGTAACCTCCAGCTCGCCCGAAGAGTTTCTCGGAGGGCCCTTGGCTAGGTACATGAAATCACCGCATGAAACTCATCTTCCTCCCCATGGCCGCAGATAGTACAGGTCGCATCTGCTTGCAGCTTTCGTTTACACCTGTTCTGCTGGGTAGCCAGATAATTTCGGGCTAGACGCCAGGCGAAAATACGGACCTTTGGTGGCACAGGCGTACTCCAAATTCTTCGCCAAATGGAGCGATCACTGTCCGCTTCTCTACTACTGCCTTCTCCATCCGGATGGAACTTGTTCAACCACGCTAAACGATAAGCAGACCTCACTGAGAAAATCCCAGATTTTTCGTAGTGCCAAGCTAGGAAATCCTCATCCTGGTATGGCGACAAATTGATTTCAAGATCTCTTCCACATCAAGTGGGTGACAGACGTGCATGATCAGATCAACGTCCCAGCTCTTTTCCCCTTGTTTCAGCAGCTGCGAGACCCAGCGAAGACGGCAGCGTCCGCTCCTTCCCATAAGCATGAGAGAGGAGGCTCGGGGAATCCATTTATCCCGCCAAATCCTGACCTTGGTCCCATCACCAATTCGCCATATAAGTCCTGTCTTCAGCAATTGCAGCCCATGTTCAATCCCTTTCCATGTCGGAGACACTTCAGCTGGGAAGACCGCATCTACTAGCTCACAATTAGGGAAATACTTAGCCTTTAAAACCCACACACATAAACTATCAGGGAATTGAATTAGCCTCCATGCCTGGCGGGCAAGCAAGGCCTGATTGAAGAGCTTCATATCGCGGAACCCCAGACCTCCCATTCCTTTAGGCCGAGTAATATTTTACCAAGCACACCAGTGGATCTTCCTTTTATTCTCCTCATCACCCCACCAGAAATCTCGAATCATCATCGTATAAGCCTCGCAGGTAGAAGCTGGCAGCTTGAACACTCCCATCAAATATGTCGGTATAGCTTGCACCACCGACTTAATTAGAACATCTTTAGCCCCTGATGACATATGTTTCTCAGCCCAGCTATCCATTCTTTTTGCCAGTCTCTCTTCAGTAGGTTTAAATCGTCCCGCATGCATTCTACCTTCCGGTGTTGGAAGTCCGAGATACTTACTTTCAAACGCCGGTGTTTCCACTTGCAGAATCTCCTTCACCACTTCCACAGTCGCATCAGGGCAACTTCTCCCAACCAAGAGAGAGCATTTTCCGGGACTTAAGAGCTGGCCAGTACAGGCTTGGAAGCAGGTTAGGGCATTCTGGACTACAGTAGCTTGTTGCAGGCAGGCACGGAAGAAGAGCAGGCTATCGTCTGCAAACAACAAATGTGAGATACCAGGGCTCCGACGGCATACTTTAAGCTCCGTTAAGCGCCCTGCCTCCACCTCCCGGTTAAGCACAGATGACAAACCCTCAGCCACAAACAGGAAAAGGTATGGGGACAGAGGATCCCCTTGTCTCAACCCGCGAGTAGGGGAGAAGGCCTCTAGAAGAGACCCATTGAAATTCACAGAGAACTTAACAGTCGTTACACATTCCATTATCCAATCAACCCATTGTCTGCAGAAGCCAACCTTCAAGAGAGCTCTTTCCAGGAAGTCCCAATCTACTCGATCATATGCCTTGCTGAGGTCAAGTTTGTAAGCACAGAAGCTATTATCCGGGCTGTTGTTCCTTTGGATAGCGTGGATGCTTTCAAAGGCAATTAACACATTATCCGTAATCATTCTTTCAGGAATAAATGCACTCTGGGTGGATG